ATTATTAGGCTTTGGGGCATCATGCTTCTTCCCCTTTTTCTTATGTGACCCTCCAGATTTGCTGCTAGAGCCATGGGAAACATAGTTTATTGAGTGAGAGGAATTCTTCTTTATAGCTTCCTCTTCTTGAGTGACTATCGATATCATCTGGTCAACAGACCATTCAGCTTCTTGTGAGTTGTATGAAGTCCTCAAGAATGCGTACTCTGATGGCAGTGATTGAAGAACACGGTAAACCAAGGTGCTTTCACCCAAATCAATCCCATATGACTTAAGCTTGTTATAGTAATGAACAAGCTTCAGAATGTGCTCCCTGACACCAGAAACTCCGTCGTATCGAGTATTGTCAAGAAGTGACAGATAGTAGTTCTTTTGAGTCTTGTCAAGCTTCTTGTATTTGTTACCAATAGCTTTCAAGTACTCCATTGCAGTATCATTTTCAGGAATGCTGTCCCTAATTCCCTTTTCAATTGTGTACTTGATGATCGCTAGACAGATCCGGTTGGACTCACTCCATTGTTTATGGAAGGCTATTTCAGAAGCACTGGACTCGGAAGAGAGATCCGCAGGCTTGGGCTCTCTCAGAGCTAAATCTTTCTCAGAAATGGTCAGATACATATTGAGGGACTCTTTCCAGTCATCATAGTTAGTCCCATTAAGAGCCTTCACAAAGGATAGTTGCGTAAAAGCAGAAACTGAAATCGCAAAACAGAAAATGGGAAATATTAATTATGCGTGCACAACATAATTATAAAACAGAATTCCCAACAAGCGATTATCAATTATGCAACTATAACCATGCACCAAGAAGGCTCATATACCATAAAGATTTAGCTCACACAAAAGTCCATACAAAATAATGCATTAAACATTTCCATACCTATAGGGTACAATAAATATCTAATACATTAAAGAGTGCTATTAGCCTATTCTTAAAGCCAACCATCAAAATCACATTAATAATGTCACACCTATGGGGTATGTCCATTATCCATGCTACAAGATCCTAAGCATCATCAATAATTCATAAAGTCACAAATTTTATGACCTTAGGACAAAACAACATAATTTTAAAAAACCTTAGGGTCTTTTGGGAATTAGAAAACGTATCCAGTACTTAAGTGAAATTTTAAAAGGTAATCAGGGGCAAATAAGTAATTCTGGAAGAGATTTGGGTTAAAATTGCAATTCTGGAAGTTAAGGGACTGAAGTGTAATTTCTAGAAATATCATAGGGCTAATTTGTAAATTTAATAAATAATGGGCCAAGAAGGTAATTTAAACTGAGACTGAAAACGCAATTAACTTTTTTTTTGCACTATTGGGCCCATACGATTTGGGCCCAGTACCAATTTCATATAAAAAAAACGAAATGGACCAGCCCCACCAAAAGCAAAACTGTCTCCCTTTTTTTTTTTAAACAGGTCTGGGCCCAAACGAAATTCTGGGCCCATCATACACGAATCGGATCCCTAGGATCTGATTTGAAACCCGTTTCTGCTTCCCTTTCAGCAGGGAGCTGCCGTGAACCAGAGAGATCAGAGACAGGGAGATGCCGTCGCCGAAAGCCAGAGAGATCAGAGACGACGCCGTCCCTATCAGTAACCAGTCCAGAGACGTGCGAACCAAGAGAACCAGAGAAATGCCGTGCACGGTGAGCCAGAAGAGACAGCGCCGTGAGCAAGGGAGAACGACGCCGCAACCACGGAGAGACGACACACCAGAAGCAGCTGGCCGGCAGTCATGTCCGACGTCCTTGGAGCTTTTCCGGTGATGGCACAGCGATTTTTTTTATAATAAATATAATAAGATTTAAAAAACAAAATTCTCATATTCGAATCTAAAGAATATGGATCATAAGAAATTTATCAACATGAGCATGAATCTTTTCAATATATCAAAAATATATATATATATATATACGTAAAGGGAATTGAGATATATAAATTTAAAAGTCGTTACCAAGGCTCTGATGCCACGTGTTGAATCTGTATATCTCAATTCACATATATAATAATAACATGATAGAATAAAGTAATTCATGCGTACCTGAAGAATCCATGAGTGCTAGAGAAATCTCGATTACCTCGAGTGCAGGCAGGTACACAACCCTCAAGTCCCCAGAGCCTTCAGAGAGTTCAGAGATAATGAAAGTAGAAGAAAATGAGTCGTGTATTTTGTGGTTACGACTGATCGTCTTATATAGATCAGATCGGTAACCGCCTTATTAAATAATTAAATAATTATATTATCTATTATCTCTGACCCAGTCAGTTAAGAGATAGGAAATAACTGACGGCTACTGGGTTGTGGATTGGGCCTCTGCCCATTGGGCTCACTTGTGTGGTCCACCTATCACGGTCCACACAAGATCATGAGGACCAATTTATTGGGCTTATTAATTAATGCTAATTCATAAATAATATTCCAACACTTTGAACATGTAGTACTGCGAGCGTATATCTTTCCTTCTATTCTCGATCCTTTTCAATTCAATTGTTTCTTTTTATTACATTTTATTTTTAACAGAAAAATTCAAAAATTTAAAACGAATATCAATAGAGATTCTTCTAAACGGCTTTCATTTCAAATTTGAAGTTTTTAAAAAAAGATTACACCTTGTTTAAATACCAAGATGTATATATCTTTATTATACACATTAATTTCCATTAGGTTTCAATATTGTTTGTCATATATGTTCCGGACAAAAAATAAAATTGTTTATATATATACTCACATTCATCGCAATTTATCACCAAAACATAATATTTTATTTCCATGTATTTTTTTCATTTATCAAAAACAAAATTTATAAAATGCAAAAACCTCTAAACTAAACATCCTCTCTCTTCTACTAAGACTCTAAGAGGTCAAAATATATTATTTTTATTAAATTTCACCTTAATAATTTTATCTAAATTCTTTCGTAATTCAAACTATTTATATATATCTTTATTCTATGTATCCATCATATAATATTATAAAAAGTTACACTATTTATAACATACCATTTCAACGATCAGTGCATGGGTTTGATTCACCATGCATCTAGTAGTTACTATAATTAAATACCTTATAAATCAGCAATATTCCACCGATCATGCAAAGTGGACTTTGATAACATACCATTTTAAAAATCATTAATATTTATATAAACCAAGTCATTTTCAACTTGAATTAAACGTTTTTTTTTTGGGCAGTACTGTAGTTACGATATTTTGCCAAGCATGTAGAAATTCTTTAATAAAATGTCTAATTAAAAAATATTACGACATACTTAAATATCTATATTCAAATATATGTAAATTTTAGTGGATGGGAATTGCCATTAACTAGCAATGGGAGTCCATTTCTAATATAACGGGTGAGGTCCACTATGACGGCTTTTCAATGCCTATGTTCAAAATAAATGTCTTTGCCAGAGGCCCACATCTTCACACAAGGCAGGTGATCAAGTTCCCACATTTATTCAAACTGAAAATGAAAGTAGCGCACACCCTCCTAAACCTAACAATGATTCCATCTCTTTTATTATTTTATTCATTCTTAAAATTTATCCACATGGGTTAGTTGCACCAGCATGAATGTCCCAAACTGCTCCAAAGCCTCAAACTTACTTTATGGTATGCAAAATTAGCTTAACAAATTCACCAAATCAAATTACTATTCAAGATGATAATCATTATTTGAATTATTATATTTCTTTATTCTAAGAGAGATATCATTTTATAAGGTAGTTGGGTTATTAGACAATCTTACTTTACCTCTAATATCTTAAACTTATTTTTTTATGGTGCAATGTCCTCTGCTTTTAGCATTTGAAAACTAAGTAATTTTGCTTTTATCATTAAATAAGTTAAATTTAATTGTTAGTTGATTTAAAAATTATAAAAAAGAACTAAAAAATTACATTAAAGGATCCTATTAAAAAAATTAATACCAATTAAATTATAAATAAATTCTAAGAGACTAATATTATTTCTTACCCATATAAAAGATAAAATATCATTTTGACCAATTACCAGGTGATTATCAAATTAGAATTAGTGGCAATAACACTAGTAAATATTATTAAATATTAAAATATTAATATTTTAATAAGGTATTATTCAAAATTATATTTTTTATTAATTACCAGTGTTGTTGCCAAAAATGATGATACAATAATTATCCGATACCAATTAAGGAATAACATTTGTCTCTTTGTATTTATTTGTAATTTAGGGACTTAATTAATATTAATTTTTAAAGAGCATTTATTTGTGACTTTTGGATTTTTTTTTCCTTTTCTATAATTTTTTAAGTCAATTAATAGTAAAAGTTATTAACTATCCAGGGACAACACTGCATTGTTTTTAACTGTTGAAAAGATGATTTCACAACCAAAGAGTCTAATAGTTGAAGGGCTGTAAAAGTTTAGTTTCTAAAAGATGATTTAACCTACATTAAAAGATATTTTATCTATCAACTATTAATTTAAGAGCATTGGTCCCCTTTTAGTTAAATAAAAATTAACTTTGACTATTAATTTATTAAAAAATTACAAAAAAAATTTAAAAATTACAAAAAAAATTATAAAATTATAAATAAGTACTCTATAAAAAAATTAATATCAATTAACATAGGCTGCTTAGTGTATTAATTTTAAATGTTGAAGAATAAAAATACAATGTAAATTTAAAATACCTAATACTCCTTGACAAATAGTTGAAGGTAAAAATGAATTTTAATTTTTTTTTTAATAACTTTATAGAATGGACAGATTCCCAATTCATGAAATAAGAAGTACCAATAAACAGCACAGATCAAGCAGAGGAACTTGGGTAAAAACTCTTGACTTTATTTCCCTCGCGTCACCATCTTCTTTGTCTCGCTCTTTAATTAAAAAATTATAGCAAGTGACAAAAATGAGATAGAACAACTGTTGGCGAGCTTGAAGAAAAGGAAAGGCTTTTTCATTTTATCCTATAAAATCAATTAACCATTCTGATAAATCAACCAGATCCCAAAGCTGATTGAAACCCACAATATCGCAGGAATCCCGAGTGAAGACAAAAGAAGAGAGAGAGAGAGAGAGAGATCTAGAGAGAGATTATGAGCATGGCCATTCATTCGATCCAGTTCGGCGCGACGGCCAGCCGGCCAGGCCGAGTTTGCCAGCACACCCAATCCGTTTCAACCTCACTCTTCACCGTTTCTCTTTAAAATTGGCTCTTCCTTGGAAGACTCAGTCATATAATATATTCTTCTCTCTGTTATTTCATCGATATCATCTTCCTTGAATTTTCATGGCGAAACTATCACAACCGAAGAATAATGCTGTCATCAGCAACAACAACCTCAGCGTCACTAACACTACGGTGCCCACCAAGGTTAAACGCACAAGGAGAAGTGTCCCCAGAGACTCTCCTCCTCAACGTAGCTCTATATACCGAGGAGTCACTAGGTAAGATTTATGAATATTGCCTGTTAAATTCTACACACAGACACACACACCAGAAATGGATATTCCCGTATGTTCTAGCGTACATGTGTTTCTTAAATTTTAGCTGAAAAAGGGTGTCGGTGGGTTGTTTCAGGCACCGGTGGACTGGCCGGTATGAAGCTCACTTGTGGGACAAGAATTGTTGGAACGAGTCACAGAACAAAAAAGGGAGACAAGGTTTGTGTCTCTGCCATTATTTAATTAATTTGCTCGACATTGACACAAGTTTTTCTACTTTTCTGATGATGATGACGATGATGATGTTTGTGTAATTATTAACTGTAATCTCTGAACTTCGCTGATAATAATGCTCTCTTTTTTCCCCCAATCTTGTGGCGTGGTCCCTGGTGGTTCTCATGCATTGATTCAACTCTCAGTATATCTGGGTACGTATTGATTAGTATCATGAAGAATGCCAACTACACGCTATAGCAGAGTCAGCATTTCATTTATATTAACGCAAAATGATAATCATGATGATGATACATACAGGTGCTTATGACGATGAAGAAGCAGCAGCACATGCCTATGATCTAGCAGCATTGAAGTACTGGGGTCAAGATACAATTCTTAACTTTCCGGTAATATTATTATTAATATAACTGAATTAAGGAGTAAAAGACCTAAAGTTAATTTTTGTAATTTGCATTCTTATTTATTGTAGTGGTCGACATACCTGAACGAACTGAAGGAAATGGAGGGTCAATCGAGGGAAGAGTATATTGGATCATTGAGGAGGTAATTTTGATGAATAATGCAGAGAGTTCATTTTGGTGGATCTTTAATTCAAAGTTTTCCAGAATAGCAGTGCCAATGTTGCTACGAAGATTGTAAATTCAGTGTGTTGAGACTCTCATGTATAAAACTTGCAGGAAAAGCAGTGGTTTTTCCCGGGGAGTTTCTAAATACAGAGGGGTTGCCAGGTAATTAATAGCCTTCATGTATGGTTCTTTTGTGATAGAGAAAAAGAGATTTTCATAGGTCCCATCTATTCTAACTTGTGGAATACTACATTAGATCTCTGTCTCTTTCTCTTTTCACTTAGACTGGATTAATGGGAATTAGGCCCATGAATTTTTATGACATGGATTTGGATTTCATCATCTCCTATTATATTTCTTTTATAATTTTAAATTTTTTTATATACTCTAATCATTTAAAATTTTAGCCACTTCAAATCTCACATTCTCTTTGCATTTTTTTATTGTTGATATCTTCATGACATGACTCTCATATATTTTCTTATCTCTTACTAGTTAAAAAAAATATAGGTAAATTCATCACTTTAAATTTTTTTTTAAACTATCCAAGTAAAAAATTTAAAATTCATGAATTCTAAATATAAGATTTTAAATCTAAAATTTAAATCCAAGTTGATCAATACAAACACTACCTAAGTTAGTAATCTAATAACTTTATATTAAATAACTCTTTTTGATGAATTTCTTATGTGTCATACTCAGACATCATCATAATGGAAGATGGGAAGCTCGGATTGGCAGAGTTTTTGGCAATAAATATCTCTATCTTGGAACTTATGGTGAGGCCTCATAATTTAATTAATTTTCTCTAGCAATGAAATACAACATGAAATATTTTTACTTTCCTACATATATACATATATAGTAACTTTTCTCTTCAGTCCACACACCAAAAAATAAAAGGCTTCTATACCACATTCAAGTAATTTATAAAGTGACTAGATGATAGGGTTCTGTATTGCATATATAAAATTAAAGTCTCATACTTTACAATTTGTGAAAAATACATGTAACTCCATTTAGATTTATTAAATATATGGATTGATTTTTTTCCTAATGAAAAACTGGGCATTTCCTGCTTTGGAAATAAGGTCTAGCACAAAACTTACGATCATCATGAAATGAGTCAACAAAAGTTATCAATAAATATTTAACCCACCTTCATAAGACAATATTTATATCTGTCTCCCAATGTATGGCATGCATAGGTTTGAATTATTGTTTAATTAATATGATCATCAGTCTCAGTCAAGACATACGTTAGAATATAATGGACCACCAAATCTGATGGATTTGTTAACTTAATTAACCTTATCATTCGTTTTTTTTTTTTTTATAATCAGAATCTTTAGTTTGATTCTCATTGAATCAAGTTTTTTCCCCCCTTCGTTTAATTAATTAGCGACTCAAGAAGAAGCTGCCACGGCTTATGATATGGCGGCTATAGAATACCGTGGACTTAACGCCGTCACCAACTTCGATCTCAGCCGTTATATAAAGTGGCTTAAGCCTAATTCCATCGGCACCAATATTATTAATCCTAGTCATAAGTCTAACTCTGACCCTAACGGTAATGTCATTACCACCTTAACGACATCAAACCCTACCCAAGAGCATAGGTTCAGCTTCTTCCATCACAACCGCCAGCTTCAGGAACCGCCAGCTATTTATAACGGCGAACAAGAAGCCGAGCTGACTCATCGCCGACTGTCTCCGACAACCACTGCCACGTCAGCCTTAAGGCTTCTGCTTCAGTCGTCCAAGTTCAAGGAAATGATGGAGATGACATCCTCCGAGGATTTGTCGGTTCCTCCAGCTGCGAAGGTGCCGCTGCAATGCAGGTTTCCGGATGATATTCAGACGTACTTTGAGTGCGAGGACTTCAACAGTAATGGGGAAGGGGATGATCATATCATGTTCAGCGAGCTCAACTCCTACGTGCCTCCTCTGTTGTATGGTGACTTTGAAACCTGAAAGAAACAAAGGAAAGAGAACTCTGATCTGGCTGTTTGCTATCACCATCATCATTATTATTTGGATTGGTTTACGTAGAAATTATTTTTCTAGCTGTGAATATGGATGATTGATTTGCTGATGACAACATTATTGGTGCTATTGAAGAAGACGACCTGGAAACTGATGCCTATGTTATTTGTGAGGAAGACGACCACAACAACGATGAGGGGCAAGGCAAGTTAATTACTTGGTTTATTTTTTTTTTTTTAGTTATGAAAAGAAAATAAAGAATGTCCAAATGAGACTCCAAAAAAAAAAAAAAAAAAAAAAAAAAGAAAATAGCAAATAATTTTTAGGTCTTTCAAATTTCATTCCAATAATATTGTACTCTTTTCTATATTTATCTGCTAATCACCAAATAACTTTTGATCTTTTATCAATATAATGACTCAATTATAATAATGTGCGTGTTATATAATATATTTGCACAATCCTCTGTTATTGGCATATCTCAAGAAAGACATGTTATCAGCAGAGAGAGCATATATTTCAAGTCCTAGCTATTCTCTTAATTTATAAAATTTATTACATGGGAAGAATAATTTCAATTTAGTTAAATGTTTTCATTTTTGACAAAAAGATATCATTTTGTATTAAATTATACCTAAAAATTCTCTCACAATAAAATAATTTAAACTTTTGGGAGATGTGTAATTCTAATTAGGCTAAACAATACTCAAATTTGACTAAATCAAATTGCTATATAAAAAGTAAAATTACTTTAAATTTATATATCCTACATACGTTTGATATGAACATATTGTAAATGTTTACCATAATGCTCCTGGATCCCATCAATCAATGTGTTTACCTTAATTCTTCTGCCCTGTTCATATTTTCTTGATGATGATGTGATTAGAGACACCAAGTGTTTATAGTTTACATGAATATTACATCCAGATTATTTATGAATTGTATAAAAACGCAAAATTCATTACACATGTCATGCACAAAAGTCAAGATCTAAATCAGAGTCAATCCAACAAAAAATTTGCTATCAAAAATACATTGGGTTAAAAATACCATCCATTTTCTCAATGCCTTCTCTCTCTCTCTCTCTCTCTCTCTCTCTCTCTCTCTCTCACATGTTATTTTCTCGCGTTGACCCCATCAACGGGGGCTTTTTCTTTGATCTCAACGAATCCAGCCCTGCACAGCTGCAACAAAGTTGCTTCTTGATGGTGATTGAAATAAATAACATAAAATGTTCGCCACCAACAATGTATGGTTTATATATATATAACTATATTTCTCACATTTCAATGCCACAATTGCGATAGGAGGATAATTAGATATCTTAGTTTTTTAATTAACACCCTGTTTTTTTCTTTTTAATTAATTTTAATATATAAGAGATGTCCTTTTCTATTTGGTGACTAAACAGTATCCTCCCTCACTACTAAATATTCATTTCTGCCTTCAGATCCCTCCAATAAGCTATGATTGCAATAAAAGTAAATTTTATTGTTTATGATTTAGGTATCATATAGCTCCAAATACTTTCATATAAAAATACAACTCTTAATCCCTCTATTTTTAACATGTTTTGATATTAATTTATATTTTTTTATTGCTCCTAATCCCTTGTGTTTTGTATGTCTATAATAGTAGTCCGTATTGTCATTGACAAAGTTAAATCTACTTACATGTATATAATTATGATGAATTGGATATTATATAAGTAAAATGACTATTAACCTTTTTTGACTTCCTGTCATAGTCATCAAGTCTTCTTCCTTCTAAAGCTTTGCCCACCATACATTGAGATTATGATTTAATGTCTTACTTGTTCCTTTTTGCATTTTACTCATTTTTATACAACTTATCATAATTTGAACAAATTAAAGTTAGCAGGAGAAGTAGCAAGACTTGTATGTATATTAGTCATTGTTAAGTCCTTATGGTCATATTTAAAAATATGGGGATTAATGTTATAGGCATATATACTTAAGAAACTAGGTGCAATGGAAAATGCATAGGGACTAATATAAAAGCATGTTAAAAGTACAGAGATCACTAGATGTATTTTTCCTACTTTTAATGTTTCACATTGATCGGTATTAATTTGGAATTGCATTGTTAAAATATATACAGTATTCTTTTCATGAAATTAAAGGATAACTTCTTAATGATCATGATCGTAGGATGGATTTCCATAATTGGGAGAAAACATTCATTGGGCTAACAAGAAGTTGGCCCATGCCAATCCTCATAGAACATAAGACTTTGGGCTTTAGTTGGCCATCTCCTCACCAACATTTATTGGGCTGTAATATATTATTTGAATTACTGACTTATATCTAAATGATTCACTGACAATACCTCGACTTCCCTCTTATGTCGAGAAAGAAATTTCAATTTAAACGTGTAATTTCAGAAATTAACTGATATGAAAATAGATCATTTTTTGCCAGAATTTCAGTTAGGGCCCTCAAAATCAAGATAACTACAAAGAAAGCCCAAAGAATATGAAATTCCTCTGCAAACCCAAGCCCTAATAGTAATTTTATATCTTGCAGAAATGACGCAAATGTGTTTGCCTCTCTCTCTGTTTTTTTTTTTTTTAAAGCGTTATTATAATTGGCCACCGAAGCCATCGCACTAGTTGTTGAAGCTCGGGCACCGATGGGGAGGCCCTTGCTACCGGTCGCCTTTGATTAAATGAGCCAAAAGTTAAGGGAGGATTTGAACCTATAATCCTTTGGGTGTGCAAAAAGTAATGTGCCATTAAATTATCAAAACCATCTAATAAACTAAATATAATTATATTTGAATAATCACTTGTTTATACATAAAAAAATTGTCAATTTTTAAAACCCTACTTGTTCAATTTTTTTAACAATTTATTCATTCAATATTAATAAATTATCAATAATATATCAACTAAAAAAAGTATATATGTTATAAATTTATTTTTCAAAAACTTTCATAAGCTTTGGCTAATCATGGATGTATTATTATTCATATATGAACAATCACTTATAAATATGAAATATGACTTGTTAATATGTAAAAAAGTTGTTAATTTCTAAAACCAACTTGGTCAATTTTTTTTAAAACTTACTTTTTTAATATTAACAAATTATTAATAGTATACTAAATAAAAATATATATGTCTTAGATTTATTTTTTAAACATTTTCATAGATTTTGGTTTATCATAAATATATGATTGATCATATCTGACCAATCAATTATAAATATTTGAACATAACTTGTTCATATATTAAAAAAAATTGTCACACACACACACACATATATTTACATGTCAAGGGCATTTGTGGCCTCCTCGCCGGCAACGTAGCTCCGACAGCCCATGATAGAGACACAGGTTTTTTTTTTTTTATACATAAAAAAAAGGAGGCAAGGGCATTTGCATCATTTTAGTAAAATATTTAATTACAATTAGCGCCCTTAGACCTGCAAAGGAATTTCACATTTCATTGAACCTTCTTTGCAATTATCTTGATTTTGAGAATCTTAACTGAAATTCTCCCCCTTTTTTTTTTTTTAAATTTACACACGTGAAGACATAATTGACTTTTATATCTTTTGGCGTTTATATAATATTCTTGCTTAACAAAGATATGTATACTAATACAATATTATATCAAAATAATTTCATCAACAACCCATAATAACGTTTTTATTTTTTATTTAAATGTGTGAATGGAATGTAGAAATTTATGGAGGAGGCCGTCATCTTTCATGCTTTTAAAGAAAGTGGATCAAGGGATTGCATGTGAGTCGATCGAACTTTCAAATTATAAAAAATGGATACTTTTTTTAATCAAAAAATAAAAAAAAAATGGATACTTGATGTGTTTTCTTTACTGGGATTCAAAATTTCAAATAATATAGGATATGAAAATATTTATAAAAAAAATATGGATACAGTATCATGGTTCATCATCTAGCTTGTTCATTCAAATACAAAAGACTTACTTTTTTAAAAAAAAGAAATTACACATACACACAAAGACCTATCTTATTAAGTTAGGTTTGAGTATTTAGAGTCTAATTATAAATAACTTATTTCAAATTATTTTCTACATTTACATGATTTTGAACTTGAAATCTATGCTTTACAAAAAAGTTTAGTTACTTTATTTATTCAAATATTAGCTCTGTTTTCAATAATTATCTATATAGTTACTCATCAAATTAAATGATAAATCTATTTTCGTTCGTATATTCTAGTTGTATTGCAGTTGAATCCATAGAGTCTTTATTGATTTCTCTAATAAAAAGTTGGGAAAGTTGGTTTACAAGATTGGATAAATCATTTCTATAATGTCGATTTTTTTTAAAAAAAATCAATGTCTTTTAATGTAGCTTCTGCTGAGAAAAATTAATGCCCTCATACCTCTCTTTCTTGCCCGCCTTTTCAATTATTAAATATTATCCGTGAGACACAGATCCTTTTCGCAGTTAAACCTATAAAATTTGGTTTGGTGTAACGTCAGACCAACTTGACAGTGACATTACATGTACGTTTCATGCATGTTCATTAATAATATATATACATATAATATATATATATATATAACAAAAACAACAAGAAGTCACTTATTCATCTATAATATTATGATTAATTTTTATATAGTGAGAAAAATAACAAGTGAGATATATAAAATTTTCAACTTTGCAACTCCTACTCTTGATATTTTACACTTTTTAAATTAAATAAAAAATATTTAAATTTAAAAATTTATTAGATATATAATATTTTAATGATCTAGATAAGATATGAAGAGCATATTTATAATAAAAGACCATATCAATCTATTCAATATAATTTTTTTAAAATAAAAAATGATGATAAAAATATTTATGTTATTATAATTTTAGTTCTAGGCATAATTATTATTTTTTTAAAATATATTACTTTTTATTAAATTATCTTGCACTCCTAACTTGAGATCCTAGCTTCACCACTATTTATATATGGCCCATTCATAGTAAAAGTGATATAATCTCTAATTTAGATTGAGTGTTTCAAATCTGCTCATCATGTAGTGAATATTCACAATGTGGTCATAGGATTTCATCAACCATTAAAAGTTTAAATTTAATGAAACAGTGAGTTAAATGGTAATTTATGAGGATGCATTTTAATCATTTTTCTACAGTCTTTTAGTCTTTTTTTAAACCAGAAAATAGATGCATTCTATTAAATTAAAAGACAGCCATTTGAATAATTAGATCAACGTATATGATATAACAAAATGTAAAGTTACGCTGTGATTTGGTATTCAGTATTCACTGTATTTTTACGTACATTTTTTGCAGCCTTTCAATTAATTGACAATGTTTATAGTACACAGTAGAATATTCATTGAAAGAGAATTTGGAATACTCATTAAATCTAAATCACATACTTTCTCCGGTTCTTAATATAAA